CCAACATGCCTTCAATTTCGTCTTCATCAAAATTTTATATATGTTGTCCACTAACCATTATTACTTCACATCCGCTTTTATGCTGAGCTGGGCAAACATTGTCTGGTATTCCCCCAAATTCATCTTCATATTCGAAAGATATATTGCCTCAATATAAATTGTGCTAGGTACACAATTTTGCTCATCTGCTTCGTCAAGCTCTTGAATCAAATCATACATTTGTTGCAACGATAACATAACATTATATAAAATGACTTACCGACATGCCATATCGGAAAGAGATTTTTTCACCTTTGTTTTTGTCAGCTTACTTTCAGATGCGATAATTTAACGAATTGAAATCACAATAATACAAATTTTAAAACTTTGACAAAATACAATGTTTCCGCAAAAGAAAATGGCTCATTTTGAATTAAAGTTATCTAGGGTGAACAAAACGTAGGAAATTTGTTATAATCCAGCGAGTTGTTGAATGTAAGTGTAATGCCTTAATGCGGACGCTGCCATCGGCATTATTTCGAACACCTCTTCAACTAACCAACCAACGAAATTCGGTCACTATTTTGACAGCAGAAGACAAAAGTGTCCAAGCGGTGAAAAGTAATTTCAAATTTAATGAATTCCTGAAAAAGACATAAAGAGTTGCTTTCCCCTAGTGAATTCATCAGACGATTAAAAAAATTTCGAATGGTAACTAGCGATTGGCACGCGCGATGTTTTGCTCCAAGGCCTGAATCGAAGACTTTACATATACACACTGGAAAAAGTCTTACGGGGTGATATGACACGATATTGGTGGCCAATCTACCGGCACAAAAAGTGAAATTATCTGCTCACCGAAGTGTTCTCTCAATAAATCCATTGATTGATGCGATGTGTGGGAAGTGGCGCACTCTTGTTGAAACCAAATGTCGCCGAAGTAAGAGCTTTAATTTCAGGCATCGAATAGTCGGTTATCATGGCGCGATAATGGTCGCCATTGACGGTTACGTTCTCAACAGCAGCATTTTTGAAAGACAAACCACACCAAACCGTTATTTTCAGAATGAAATGGTAACGCTTGATCTCTTCAGATTGCTCTTCGTTCAAATGATGCAATTTTGCTTGTTTACCTATTGAGCCAGAAATATGCTCATCGCGTGAGTTTTCGTAATAAAGTTGAACGATTTGTATACGTTGTTCATGGTGAAATGCTTAATAATACTGAAAAAATATCATGACAGCTTGACACGACTCATGCTTGATCTGTCAAAAAGGCTATTGAAAAGTACTTAACGTGGATCACCCGTTATATATATTATTAGAGGGTCTGACATACTTTAGTATGAATTTGTTTCGGTTTTGGCCGTTTTGATTTGCGTCTAACCTGTTTTTTTTTTCAGTCAATAAAAATTTGAAATTTATACACTCATTTATTGTAGCTACTTCACTTTGACAGCTACAAAGTTTCTAAATTAACTTCAGAGTTGCAATTTAATTTTTCGAATACTATCAGTTATCTCAAAATACCATTCATTTCGAGTAAACTTTTAATAATGACAGTTCCTATAATGTGTAATGAAAATAATATATTAAGGAAGAGAAATAGGATACGATGTTGCAATGCATTCGTAAAATACAGGTAATTAGAGATTTTACCTCGTTACCTCCGTCTACCGAATGACAATGAGAATACCACTTCGAAACACAGGCTAATTGGTGCTACAATTGCCAAAATTAAAATTTGCGAAACTTACATTTTAAGTTTTAATAAATATACCTTTGTAATCAGTTTCGGTCCGTGTACATCCAATAGTTGTGCACGCACACATTGTTAAGAGTCATTTCCAGTGCGAACACATGCGAATGCCAGTTGCACGGAAATGTGTAAATCCGTACACGGTACGTTTCTTGTGCGCCTTGTTTGCGCCAGCAACTCTTAACGATTTCACAGATTATATGCAACAGACATTTTGCTGGTGCAACACCGAAAAGGATGTTAATATTATCAAAAAATTATCTTCTAGCCCCAGGCTGAGTGGCTTTGTGCCTTTTGTACAAACACTAGCACACATATATAAAACGTACATTTAGCTTCTACCCGGGCGTCGGGGCAATGGTGCACGCATTTGCCGAGTGTACATGGGACTTTAGTTGTCGCTCTTTTTCTATGCCACTGTTTGCCGGAGGCGCATCACTGAGCTGCCGTAATAGAGAATGACTGGTAACAAGTGGTCAAAGCTAGCGCCCGGGGAAGCTGCGACAGCGCTCACTCTCAATAAATATTTACTTTTGCAAATACAGACCAAATTGTCAAACAAAGTCTTTTGCTAAGCTCTACATTCTTAATTCAAGATGACGCTGAAATACACGCAAGATGACGCGCATACGCTCGTCTGTCGCACTCAGACCGGATGCAGCGGCGACGGTGACGGATGGCTGGAACTTTCTGAAATGTGCAAAAACTTTTTACTGTCAGTTTTATTTCATATACTAAGGTTATATAAGTCAGTATGCGCGTACAAAGTGTGTAGCTGCTCGAAAATAAAGTTTGCGTCATTCATTCTTCACATTGGGTCATTTTAATTGTCTCGACTAGATAGCGAGGGCAACAAAACTATATTCTCTTTACATAAATTGCTGCAAGGTTTCATGGTATAGTATTTTCCTTCTTGTTTATAAATCTAGCTCTTCGTATTTACAATACAAAAAATGTAAGCCATAAAGATCTCACAATATTGTTAAAACAGAAACTAATGACAAAAGTCAGACTTCTCTGGTTGTGTTTAGAATATACTACTTCTTTTCACAGAGGAAAGAGTTTAATGATAAGATATTTACAAGCAGAACATTTTGTATGTATTGAAATTTGGGTTTATTCATTATTATACTCTCGCAACCTGTTGCTACAGAGTATATAGTTTGTTCACCTAACGGTTGTTTGTATCACCTAAAACTAATCGAGTTAGATATAGGGTTATGTATATATAAATGATCAGGATGAAGAGACGAGTTGAATCCGGGTGACTGTCTGTCCGTCCGTCCGTCTGTCCGTCCGTCTGTCCGTCGTCCGTCCGTCGTGCAAGCTCTAACTTGAGTAAAATTGAGATATCTTTATGAAACTTGGTAGACATGTTTCTGGTACCGTGAGACGGTTGGTATTGCAGATGGGCGTAATCGGACACCTGCCACGCCCACAAAACGCCATTAATCAAAAACAATAACTTGCCATAACTAAGCTCCGCAATAAGATAAAAGACTGTTATTTGGTACACAGGATCACATTAGGAGGGGCATCTGCAGTTAAAATTTTTTTAAAAAGTGGGCGTGGTCCCGCCTCTAATAGGTTTAATGTGCATATCTCCTAAACCGCTAATGCTATAATAACAAAATTCACTGGAAGCAATATTTTTAGCACTTCTATTGACGGTGTGAAAATAGTTGAAATCGGGTGGCAACTCCGCCCACTCCCCATATAACGGTACTGTTAAAACTACTAAAAGGCGATAAATCAAGTACTAAACACGCCAGAGTCATTAATTTTATCTCTGGAGTGGTATGAGATGACTTTATAGGAACGCGTTCAAAATTTGACAGTGGGCGTGGCACACCCACTTTTAGGTGAAAACCCATATCTTGAGATCTGCTTAACCGATTTCAACCAAATTCGGTGCATAACGTTCTTTTCATGTTTCTATGTCACAGTGCAAAAATGGGCGAAATCGGACCAAAACTGTTTAAGCCCTAAGTACTAAATATGTGGACCCCAGTGCCTATAGTTGACCTTCTACCGAAAATATCAGCCAATCCACAAAGAAATCTCAAACGAGTATACTATTTGACTTTGCGAGTATAAAATGTTCGGTTACATCCGAACTTAGCCCTTCCTTACTTGTTATTCATTTGTCTGTCTGTTTCTCTTGTCTCTGAAATGGCTAGACCGATTTTGGTGGAATTTTCGCTGGCGAATAGCTAATGTAATAGGAAGCAACTTAGACTACTTTTATTATAGAAAATGTATTTATTTTGTTAATAGAATAAATAATATAAGCCGGACGGGTCGTCGTAAGGAAACACAAGTTGGTCCATTGAAAACCTTGCATAACACCGCGCAAACGTATTAAATAATTTTCATATTTCAATATTGATTTTATTTTAACATTTCAATTGATTATAACTTTAAAATATTGACTCTCATTCTGAAATATATTTTAAACTTTTTTATTTGTAAACCTCTTTGATATCTTTATTGTTGTGTTGTTATGACTTCAAACCAAT